GAAATAAAAATTTAATACCTTTATTTGAAATGCCTTTAAATTCTTTTTTTTATTCAGCCAAAGTTTGCAAGTGAGTCATTTCTCAAATCTTCAGTTAGAGTTTGATCCCAGGAAATGTCTAATAATTGTTCTTTTTCTTCACGAGATAAAATTTCAAGTACGTTTGAACAAACTGGATTTCTAATCAATTTTCGTTTTCATAATCCTCAGGAAAGTACGTGCTGAAATTATTTATCAATGAAAATAATGATTTTTAATGTCAGATGCTAATTCTTCTTTTATTTTCAATTTTTTTTTCTGTTAGAAAACTTTCTAAACGTAGTGAAAAGCTTAAAATATTATTATCCAATTCTTTGATTATTATATCGAGCTAGCTCTTTTTATAACTGCATTTATTTTATTTCTAATGGTAAACAAATTAACACTTCGTCGTTGTAATCCTAAATTTATCTCCTTTAACTTTCCATAAATATCAGCTAAATAACAAGAAGACAAAATACCTGCTGTAAGAGACAGCAAATTGACGTAAAAAATGCTTCTAATTGAAAATAGAGCAATATAAGAGCGGAAATGAGACATGGACCTTATAAGAAATAGACTAACCCAAACGGGTTTTCTCCCTCGTCTGAGGCGTTGCCGACTGTCACCTTGATCACATCCGGAGGAGTAGGGACGACTTGTAGAAATTTAACATTGATTGCCTATTGCAGCGTGTATAATTGAAGAAAACGCTGGTCGTAGCGCCTCATTTCACAAATTAGAATTTTTACATATTTTTTTTCTTTTTTTGAAACTGAGATTGATTTTTAAAAATTTAGCATATTTATGAAGCATAATTAACGTCCCAAATAATTATAAAGCTATTGCATGCTTTCAGGACTGGATATATTTTTAGCTTTTCCTATGCTGTAAGGAAATTTGTAACTACTTCTTTTAGAAAATAATATTTTAAATCTGAACTAATAGAAAATTTCAAACAAGCAATTTTAATGCTTTTTATTGGTGTAAATAAGTAAAAAATACTAAATTATTTTAAACGAACTTTTGAAAGTTTTGTTTAAAATTCTAAATTGAGCTGCTATTTTAAAATTATAGATGAGTATTATAGCACAATTTCTGTAAAGGAATTTTATTTCAATTATATTTCATATACATCATAGTGATAAACACTTTGACTCCTTAAACATTTTATACATTAATTCTAATATTAAAATTGTATTTAACCGTAATAATTAATTTTGCTTGTATTTTATAGTGATTATTTTTTTAATTTTATTTTTAGTTCTGCATAAGATTTTTTTTTATTTACTGTTGATTTAATTTATTAGCCTAAAGGGGCGGTAGCCTAGAAAGGCTGTTAGTTTCGAAGCGGCATTTTGCGCTGCTTTACTATAAATGTCCGTGTCTCCTTGCAAATTGTTGTTACCAAATATTATCGCCCTGTAATATATGTAAGGAAATTAAATAATGAAGAATCTGCATGAATACATGTATGTTTCTCGCACTGTGACAAAAACGACAGTATCTAGAGACATCAAACCTTGATGTCTCTAGATACTGTCATCTCTAGATACTGTCTAGACATCAAATTTTGATGTCTCTAGATACTGTCGGATGTAATGTTTCGGATGTAATCCTCCACCCGAACATGGGCCGAATTTCGAATTTGTTTTAATCTATTTCATATTTTGTAAAATTTTAACGAATTTTTGATTAACAAACTCAACGAGTTCAGAGCGAGCACTGTACGGAAAATATAGTTTTATCTCCAGTGCGGAAATTCCAAAGATATGCTGTTTTCAAATGTATGTGGTTCACGGGCGAAGAACATGATATTCAATAAATATAGGTAACACACAAAACTTTAAAAAAAGGTTCCTTTTGGGCGTAATATAAAATCTGCGTGCTTCTAGATTTTATTTTATCTTTTTTTTTTTCCTTCATTACGCTCAGAAAATTTTATGCTCCGAATTTTATGAATTATTAAAATAACTAATCCACTTTAATGTTAATAATTTAATGATCATATAATCAAACAAATATGATCGTTTTGTAATGTTATTATAGTTTGGGAAATCACTGCCTGAAAATGTTCATTAAATTTAAAAAAAAAAATATCAGACCTTGTTTAATTTTACCTTATTTATTTCAAAGCATCGCGTACTATCAATTTTATTTAATTTTACTTTATTTTTACGCAAAATTAAGTTCATAAATTTTGTGCTTAGAATTTTTACCGTTTTGCCAAAGTAAAGATGTTTGTACAAGATTACGCGTGAAAGAATGCGCGAAATACAGTAAAAAGTGCTTTAATAAGATATATTAAATCCTATTTGGAAAAAACTGTGGCTTTCATAATTTCATCACTATACAACGTATCACATTTAATAATTAAAAGGAGTTATGTGATACAAACACCATAGGTTTCAGTGTTAAAGTAAACCAGATCGTCCCTACTCTTTCTTGCCGACATGTCGGTGACGCGCGCCCCGCCCACTGGGTTAGTCTATTTCTTATAAGGTCCATGAAATGAGAGCGGTGACGTGTAGACATGCTAATAAATCAATAAATTATAAAAGAATTAATGAGATACTATTATCTTTTTGTAGGAATGTATTTTTATTTCTATTAAATACAACATCCATTCCTATTACTCCTTTCAGAAACATCAGTTATGACAAATTGTGATATATCAATGGCCAAAAGAATATTTAAAAAATATTTTGCTAAAGTCCTTGAACAAAGCTCAAATCGCTTAAATTTATGAGTGCTAGAGAAAAAAAAAAACTTTAACAGGACGTTGGATTGTTTAATTTTTTAATTTAATAGTGAAAAATATTTTTTTCCTTTGCGTGCCACTGGTTAAGAGCCCCTGCTCTAACTGATTTACATGACTGGCGAGGAAATGGAAAAGGAGAAATTATATTAAAGATCTAAATCATAATAACTTGTTAATTAAAATAATAAAAACCATACAAAGTGTCTGGATATTTATGAATATTCATAAAAATCCAGACATAACGTTCCAATAAGCGTTTAATAATAATTTTCGATAATAATACTCATAATAATAATTTTCAATAATAATTTTCGAATACCAGATATTATAATAAACGTACTTTATGTGCACTGCACTTAACTGGACATTAATTTGATGCATTAAGAAGCATATCCACACTTTCTAAAATGAATGGGCATTTGAATACACTTAAGTGACAAAAGTCATGGGATACCTCCTAATATTTTGTCGGTCTTCCTTTTTGCCCGGCGAAGTGCAGCAACTCGATGTGGTATGGACTCAACAAGTCGTTGGAAGTCCCCTGCAGGAATATTGAGCCATGCTGCCTCTATAGACGTTCATAATTGTGAAAGTCTTGACGGTGCAGGGTTTTGGGCACGAACTGACCTCTCGATGATGTCCCATAAATGTACGATGGGATTCATGTCGAGCGGTCTAGGTGGCCAGATCATTCACTGGAATTGTCCAGTATGTTCTTCTAACCAATCGCGAACAATTGTGGCCCAGTGACATGGCGCATTGTCATCCATAAAAATCCCATCGTTGTTTGAGTACGTGAAGTCCATGAACGGCTGTAAGTGATCTCCAAGTATCTGAAGGTATCCATTTTCAGCCAATGATCGGTTCAGTTTCACCAGAGGATCGAGTCCATGCCATGTAAAAACAGCCCAGACCATTATGGAACCACCACCAGCTTGAACAGTGCCTTGTTGACAACTTGGGTCCATGGCTTCGTGGGGTCTGCGCCACACTCGAACCCTACCATCAGCTCTTACCAACTGAAATCGCGACTCATCTGACCAAGCCACGGTTTTCCATTCGTTTAGGGAACAACCGATATGCTCACGAGCCCACGAGAGTCTCTGCAGGCGATGTCGTGCTGTCAGTAAAGGCACTCGAGTCGGTCTTCTGCTGGCATAGCCCAAGGAAGACAAATTTCGTCGCACTGTCCTATCGGACACGTCCCTCATACGTCCCACATTGATTTCTGCGGTTATTTGACGCAGTGTTTCTTGTCTGTGAACATTGACAACTCTACGCAGACGTCGTTGGTCTCGGTCGTTAAGTGCTGCTGGTCGGCCACTGCGCTGTCCATGGTGGGATGTTATGTCTGAAATTAGACACTCTCGGCACACTCTTGACACTGTGGATCTCGGAATGTTGAATTCCCTAACGATATCCGAAATGGAATGACCCATGCGTCTAGCTCCAACTACCATTCCGTGTTCAAAGTCTGTTAATTCTCGTCGTGCGGCCTTAATCACGTCAAAGCCTCTTCACAGGAATAACTTGAACACAAATGAAAGCCCTGCCAAAGCACTTCGCATTTATACATTTTCTACGCAATACTACTGCCATCTGTATATTTGCATATTGCTGTCCCATGACTTTTGTCACTTCAGTGTATGCGAGTTGATAAAGCTCAGGAACACATATTGAAATCTGAAAGATTGAACAGCTACAGATGTAATACAGAATATGAAAAAAATAAACAAAACATATTTTAATACATTTTATATTTGTGTTACTTCTATATTCACATAAGTAGCACAAAGAGAAGCCTTTGTCGTATACAACCAAAGAAAAATAATAAATAGAAAATTTAATTGATTATCAGATAAACTGTTCAACTCAACACTTTTCTCTCTCCTGCAATTAGCGCTGTTTATGAAGAAACACAAGCCTGTCATCAGTTTTATGCTATACTGAAATACTGGAAATAATTTAAATGTTGTCAATGTTAAGAACAGTAGTGAGTTTGCTACTGATTTACGATTGGCACAAAGATAGTTTCAATGACGGAAGGATATGAATGTAGGAATGAACTACACTCACTTAAATATTTTCAGTTTAATAAATTTTAATGATTAGTGTTTTTGAATACAGTTATTCAGAAGAGGACATTCTCACCTTAATGAGATTCAAAACAACTGTTATTTTTCAATCAAAACAACACGCAGTTAGAATTTGTTTTTCTTACCGATATTTTCTTTGAAAATACTATGTTCTTGGATACTTTCAACCATAGCATCAGCAAGTAGCAAACCCATGTTATCTACTGTTGAAAGAAAATCAGAACCAATTGCTGGTCTCCTTTCCTATATTTGGGAATAAACCTTATTAAGCATATTATGTTAAACTCCAATAAAAACTTTAATAGATAATTTTAAAAAGTAATCCTTTTAGAATATCAAAATGTAAAAATAGAATACAAAATGTAAAAATGAAACGAGTAAAGCAATAAATCTTAATTTGATTTCCATTTTACTTTTAAGTAGTAATAAATGTGTCTTTTGATTAATTTCAATACACTTTTCATTTCATAGTGGATAAATTACCTTAATCACGGCAACTATGTTGCGCTTACAGTAAATCCTTATCAATGATAGAAAGATTTTACTTTTAACGTGAAACATCAGATTCTATCGGGAGAGTATGATTTATTAAGAATAATTTAAAAGGGTACAACATTAATACATATTGTTGCGTGCGTACGGGTTCGTTATGAAATGAATGCACAAGTCCGAGGAAAAATGAACAAAAAATTTATTATTATCACAACGAAAATGCTTAAATTTTCTCAAATTATCATGCAGTATTACAATATCTCACAGTAGTTATCTTTTAACTACTCAAATGTCCAATAGAACGTAATTCAAAACAGCTAAAGAACGCTAATCCGCGAATTTGCTACAATCAACAAGAGCAGTTTTCTAAACAACAACAAACTAAGCAACTACTACAAACTGAAATCGAAATCGAGTCAATGGCTAGGCGGCAATTAGTAGCCAACCGCTACTTTAACCGTCTGTGTTGGTAAATTGCCCTAAGGCGTTGGTACTTAAGTTTTTAATTAAGGCGATTTACGCCGCGCCAACTAGGCGAAACTTGTCAAATTTTGTGAAATGTAGGTGGAGTAAGGGAGATGATTGGCAGGAGCCTGTCACGCGGGTGGTCACCAGCTTACGCGTACAATGAGAAATATTGGAAATATTAATAATTATCAAGTTTTGAAACAGGTTATCTAGATTGGAATAATTAAACTAATATCACGATCTAAATGAAGACAAATGGCACAAGTGCAACAGATTAGCTAAACAAAATATTCAAATTCATCCTTTCTGTAAAACACAGATTGGACAGTGGTAGTCACGTGGGAGTCACCCTCCCGTGAACTGTCCACAGCCCAGTGCATCTTGTACTACAAACTGAGATGTTTTCCTCCTTTTATAGGATTTTAAAATCACGCGCTAGAATTTTCCAGTACTTTCTCGAAATCAAAAAGAGATATTTATTTATTTAATGCACGCGCTCTTGTATTTTCAATTTTCCGGCTTAACTTTCTTTTAATATTCGTCACGCGCTGCACTGCGCGAGAAATAAAACCATTTAATTTATAATTGAACTAACATTAGCTTTTTAAATACCAAATTAGTAACAATATTGTTTTAGATATTACTAAAGTCTTTTTTATATTTACATTTAGTCTTCAATGAGGTGAAAGTTTTCCAAAAATGTTAGTACTTTATTTTGCAAGGATCAGCATCTATTTCACAAACATTTTCGGCAGTAGTATATTATATTTCAAAGTTTTCATATTTATAAATATGCACATAATTAAAATACGAATGTAAAATCATTACCTGAAATTTTACGGTATTGTGTTTTAAGCTTTTTGGACCATCACCAGTTTTATTGCAATTTTTTTAATAAATCCCTAATTACCTCGTACGTTTAAGTTATATATGCAGGGTGTCCCAGCTAAAGTATTACTAACTTCGAGGAGAGGTCGGGTACAGCTAGACGACTCAGAATCACTTAAGAGGTTATCACATATGGCTACAGTCCCTGCTAGACGGGACTTTTCTGAGACACGAGATTCTGGTAGCACTGTTTTAAATGGGAGGACTTCTAGAAAAAAAGAGCCGCGCTGGAAGCGAAGTTCCGCCTAACTACGGAAGCAATGTTGCGGCTACGCGGGATTTTTTCAAACCTCACCGAAAATGTCTCGGGTCGAGACAACCAATCAGACGAAAGTTCGGCTTCTGAAGGATCACGTGATCCCAATTTGAGCGATGATAGATTACTGTTTGGCGTTCAAATTTTTGTAGTAAGGGAGAATGGTAACCTACCTACGTGGGTTTCCTGGAATTATGAGGGTTTTTAAGAATTGTCCCTTTCGACGTCAAGTCCCGTGTAGCCGAAACATAATGTGATTGGGACCTGAGAAATGCTGGGTCGGAAACGCCTTCCTGACGCGGTAGAGGGTAGGGAATAGGCGCAGGGTGTTTCGAGCGTGCTTGTTTCGAAGCTTCATTTCGCATTATTTAGGTATAAAGCACAAGGAAACGAAAGGAAGCAAAATAGGCGGGAAAAGTTTTTATTACCCGGCGTAAAACCTAAAGTAACAAAGGGGAAGTACAACTGATATCAAAGAAGGTGAGTGAGTGAGTGAGCGCCACCAAGGATGACCAGTGACCTGGCCTTAGCCTCACAGTGTGATATCTTCCTAGCAGAAACAACAGACTGTTAAGAATCGGTGTTAGAATAGACAGAAACTTGTGTTAGATAAAGTAAAGAAAGGAGGACTCTGCCTGAAAAATTAACTGCCGTGGATTTTCTGGACTTGCTAAATGTCTACATGCGGGTGATAATCCTGACACAACTGTCATATATTTATGGGGCTTTTGTAAAATCCTTGGTCCTGCATGGAGGAAAGATATAACCCATTAAATTATTGCACATAGCAAACTTAAAAAAAAAAAAAAAAAAAAAAAAGATTAAAAAATGATAAAATGATTTTTAAAAAAAAGCCTAGCGCCCAAACATAATTTAACGCAGATTACTTTCCATGTGCCTGACTTTTATGTAAGAACATTTAAAACGTTCCAGTAGTGTCTTGGATTTTCCAGGCAACTGCAACAATTCATGTCCTCGGCGCTGTCAACGGGGATTTCGCAGACAAGGGATATCATATATCCCCAGAAGAAGCCCCATATACTCATCATATGCCCCTATACACGATAGGTCTGGCGATAAGGAAGGCCAATTCATTGGACCACCTCGGCTGATTTACCGTTGCCGAAATGTTGTATTCAAATGCTAACATACAGAAAAGTTGAAATGGACAAGGCCCAAAAATGCTGGTACCACAAGAAAACGTATTTGCGTTGTTTAATAACTCTGGTAACTCTTGTTTCAAGAATATCAAGTAAACTGCACCTTTCAGGCAATCAGGCAACAACTATGGCCCGATGAAGCTACCCTTTAGAATGCCGGCCAATACGTTTACCATAAAAAGTGTTTGAGCAGCCCGAGTACGTATCGCATGTGAGTTCGCCATCGCCCACGCATGGTTATTATGAGTATTGAAAATACCTTCTCTCCTGAAATACACCTCATCTGTGAACACAAAGACTTGGAAACTCGTTTCTGCAAATACGAACGTGAAAAAGCGCGAATAACTGGACGCGCTGTAAGTGACATGGATGCATTTCATTGCTACTCAGATTCCTCCACACGCTGTTGTGTGAAATCCCGATTCGCGATATTTCCTGTTTTTCTATTGGGAGTGCTCTCTACCAGACCAATCGCAGTTCCACGTTGGCTGGCTTACGTGCTGTTCGATCACGATTACGTGTGGTAGTTTGGAATGACCCTCTGTCACATAATTGCTGGTGTAAGCACGTAAACATAGTATAGGAGGGAGTTCGCCTCAACAGATACCTTTGGGCGTACAATATCATCATGCTTACAATAGCATTAAAAATAATATTATTAAGCTCCAATTCAATAATACAAATAGCATCAATTTTCACTAGAAAGAACTTAATAAAGTATTGATGAGCTTAAAAACCTTATTAGACCTACGGACGCGTAACTCAATAAGAAACTTTTCAAGAGAAGCACGCTCCTCCCAGATATTTAAGAGAAGAACTTGCGGAAATAAACTATTGAGAAGAATAACTTTCTTCTGATTGGTTGGCCTATGCGAAACAGAGCTGCCTGTGCAGTTTTTCCCTAGTGTCGTTAAATATTTTGGGTACCCGTCATTTTCTATCTCTAGGCCATTCCTGACGTTGAGCCCATAGGGATGAGTCAAGGATTTTTCTAGATCTTCTCCTCGTCTCAGGGAGCCATATTTTGCTTATCTTTGGATTGCCTTTTAATGCGAGCTATTATTGCATATGCTTTACCAGTGCTGAACTTCAATCGTTTTTACATGATAAGTATGTTTTTCATTATACCGTAGGCCATTTCTGGTTAGGTGTACGGATTTACTGCTTATCATGGAGAGAGAGGAGGCGTTTAGAAAAATCGAGCAACGGTGTATAAGTAATTCAGTTGAATTTACACCATCAAAATTTTATGCTAGTTACTTGAAGATGAATATCTTGCATTACGAGATTTCCCCAGTAAAACGGAAGAACAACAACAATTTCTTAGAGATATTCAAAATCAAATAATGGCTCTTAATGAGTACTTAGCTGAAAATCAAACTAATGACAAAGTCACTACTGATTCTCAAATCTCCAGCATGGATACAAATCAAACCCCTAAATCACCTAGTGAGAAAATAAACGTAAGAAAACTATTACTGATAAAGAAGGTTTCCCCACACTACGTATTATCCACAAACACCACACGTTATCAAATACAGAAGTAACTGAACCTGCCCAGAAAAATAAATTTCAGGAACTCAACCCCGAGGGTAATATGGATTCCACATCTAGTGATCAAGGAGACTTCATAGCCCCTACCAAAACTGTAGGACATATTCCTCCTATTGTATTAGCGGACGTTGCAGGCGACTGAGACAAGTTAAAGGAAGACATAGAAGAGATTCTAAGTATCGAAAAATTCCGTGGTAACTTATCTGGCGCAATGCTTACAATCAGAGTTTATGACTCTACTCACTATAGGATACTCACAGATTATCTGGACAAACTAGAACTTCCATATCACACATTTAAATTAACCAGTGAAAAGTCAATTAAAGTTATCATTAAAAAGCTGCCTAAAACAGCTAATATGGAACTTATCAAAAATGAACTCATAAAAAATGTGAGAATCCCCATTCAAAAAATTCACCAGATTA